TAGGATAAGGTTAGCTGATGCATATCAATAGCCAAAATAAGTCAAATGATAAATAAATAAATAGACAGGGAAAAAATAAGAAGTACAGTAAACTCAATAATGTCCATAGTGGGCAGCTGTAGTTTTTACTTAGCTATCTTAGAGAAGTAATAGGTTAGACATGGGCTATTACCCACAAGATCAGTAACTCAAAACCACCAGTCACTCTTCGGGAGAGAGACAAGACATTTGTTCTACTCCTGTAAGCATTAATTACACTCTCTCAAACCCTGTCCTATAGGGTCAGTGTGAGTCAGAATTGACTCAATGATCATGTATTTAGTTTATTATTATAGTTAATGGGATATACTTCACATATCATATAATTTCTCTATTTTAATGAGCTTTTTATAAGCCAAGCACACTGCCATCACATTTCGTGAAATTCCACAATCTGTTTGAAGCCCCATCATATGCTATACCATGTTTAGTTTGTCCAGTCATTCCGACTCATAGACACTGTGTAGGATAGAGATAATCTGCTCCTTACAGTTTCTGAGATTGTAAATAATTACAGAAGTGGGCTACCTCATCTTTCTCCTGAGAAGTGGCTGGTGAATTTGAAACACTGGCCGTGAGGCTAGAAGCCCAATGGTTAACCCACACTACCACCAGGGCTCTTTGATAAACTGAAATTAATATTTCTCTGAAAAGATGAGGAAGACCCAGTATCCAACTCTGCCTATGTTGGAATATACTTGCACGACTCATAAGTGTACACACACACACACACACACACACATGTGTGATATATATGAACATGGGTTATCTCATCTTTTAGTTTTTGTAAGTAATGCTACAATGTTCAATGTTCATTATTGTACAGGTTTGAATCACACAGATATTGATATTTTTACCTTTTAATTTGCTTTGTTTACAAGGTAAATATAAAAGGACATCATAGGTAAGTATAAGGATAACAAAAAAGAGAAAGACCCTTGTTGAGACAGATTGACACAGTGGCTGCAACAATGGGCTCAAGTATAAAAACAATTGTGAAATTTGTGCAGGACTAAGCAGTATTTTATTCTGTTGTAGATAGGGCAGCTAATCAGTTGGAACTGTCTTGATGGTACCTTAAAACAACAACTTGAGTAAATAATTTTCTTTCACCGCTTAACTCCTGGGGAAGAGATATGGATTCTAAATTATGCCAATGAAAAATACTATTTCTAGAAACTGTTTGCATCAAAGCACTAAAGGGTTCCTTAAAGATCACTTCCAGTGCAGTAAAAATTTTCTCTTAAGTGATTCTTTTCTAAGGGAAATCTTATTTCACTATTATGTTAAAAAATTGAATTTTACTCCTAAATTAAACCTATATCTACTTTTGAGTTTTGAGAAAATTAAAATTAAAATCAGTATGTAGTCAGGAGTGCTACCTAGAACATTCATACACTAAGTGAAGTGTTTGATTAAATCACAGCTTTCAATCCCAACAGCACAGTAAGGGGAATCTATCAATGTGAAGTATGCCAAGTCATTTGTCAATCATTTTTAAATTTTAAAGTAAGAGTAGATTTGAATAGATGCTATTTAAAATGTTATTTTCTAGCATTCGGCCATTTCTTTGTGGGAGTGAATGGATGATGCTAATGATATGAAAATTACACATAGCTCCTGGCAACC